GAAAACAGCTTTTTATGTCTTTCAAATATACTATTTACATATAAGAGGTACGTATTTTTCCTTTTCAAAACTGGTCCTAGTGCCTTGTCTCCTGTAATGTGTGATTTGGTGGTCCCAAAACAAAGCTACTATGATAAGCATACAAATAAAAAGACCAAACATTAACACATGAATAAAATAGTTAATAAACAGTTAAATATCTTTTCATTTATTACTTCTTGTCATGCTATCTTCATTTAATGATGTCAAATATATGCTAGGCATAGTAATGTATGTAATGAATCACATATATAATCTCATTTAATTCTCACAGTTACCCATTTAAAAAATAAGGAATATAAGTCTTGGAACATTTATGTTATTTTTCCCAAATCACATGAAAAGTTAACATCAGAATGCAGACTGGAGCTTGTAAAACTTATACCCCTGAGAAAGACAGGACATATTCGATTATTACAACAATCTTGCTAGAAAGTGAAGGAGCTTGAGTAAGAAAAATTTATAAAATGACTTTAAGTAGTTAACTTACTTTGTAGGACAACCTATTAAAGATAGTGTTGGTAAGGTGAGGCACTCTTTAGAAACCGTACAAAAAGGAGAGAAGAGAGTGTTAAGGAGAGATGGGAGGGGCGCAGAGATGTTTAATTGATTTTATACTTTCCCTTTGGTTAGCACAATCTTCAAAGAAGATAATAAAGAACACAGGAATATACGTTTTAATAAGCAAAATGTGTTTAATTTGCAATGTGTGTTACAATAAATGGGTCAATGTCTCTAATGTTTAGAGAGTTCTTCCAAATCAATAAGACTAAGAAATCAGCAGAAGAATAAAAAAGTACAAGAATAGCCAATCCACAACGGAACAAGTATAGCCAGAAAGCCCACAGACAAAAATAATTAGTTTTTCTCAAAATTAAACAAGATACTTATTTTGGCTCCCTAATCTTTCTCAAAATTAAAGAAGATACTTATTTTGGCTCCCTTTAATATAAAGGATACTTATTCCTTTATATTAAAAGGAATAATGAAAAAATAATGATGGTAAGAAAATAAAAAAAGATACGAAAATGTCCAATGTGATTGAGGAATAGGGAAAGAGACATGCATACATTACTGGTAGATAAGTGAATTAAGTTACGTTTATACAATGAACTATCATTGACCCAGATGTAGATATTTATTTAAGTGGAAATATTCCAAATGAAAAACTATGATACAAGTTACAGAATACATATATAAAGCATCATTTTGTTTTGGTAAACAAGTAATTATAAATAAGTTTACATGTAATTATAAAATATAATTGCACATATGGAAGTCTGTAGGAATCCAAACCAAACTTGGGGTTATTGGTAATTGAGGTTATCTAAAGATGTTGATGTTGAGATTTGGACGATTTCCCTCCTTTTTTCTTTTTGTTTATCAATAGCTTCTAATTTTCTATAATAAAACCTAGGTTACTTATGTAATAAATAAAAGCAAAATTTATGATAAAGGAAGTAGCATGGTGGTTAAGAAGATAAACTCTGGAGCTGGATAAGCCCAGGTCACAGGTGACCTTAGATAAATCCCTTAAATGTATTAACTTTGGTTTCCTCATCTGTAAAATGATGATGATGGTAGTGCCTGCCCCAGTGGGGTTTTGGTGCAGGTTATATGAAAAAAATATGTAACTTTACTGTGTGTACTTATTAATCAATCAAGTAATTACGAAGTCCTACTCTTGTATTATAGGGTAGTAGTGCAAGGTACTTGGGGGAAGTGCAAAGACATTCGAAATTGTCCCTCCTCTGTAGGCAGTTAAATAGACAAGGTCACCAACTGTCCAAATAGACAGATGTCACTAAGCCAAATGAGAACACAGCAACCAAGAGATTCACAATTCTATGACATGCAAGGGAATCCCCAAATATACATCTTAAAGGTACTAAATGTCTATTTAACTAATTTGCTCTTTTAAAAACAGTTAATATAAATGGGTGACTTTTATGGCATATGAGTATATCTCAATGAAGGTGTTTTTAAAAGGCAAATATTTTAGTATGTGGTATTTACCTCAAAGAAGTGGTCTTAAGAGTATTTCAATACAAAATACACTGATAGAGTATAAAAGCTAACATTGCATAGGAAATTTTCTAAACTAGCTGATTTGAATCATCTGAAGTTGAATCTGGTTCATAAAATTATTGAATTGCTTAGAGACTCATTTTTAGTGTGTGATTAATAAAACGATGCCCACATAGGATTTGCAAATGTTAAATACTATGACTAAAATAATGAATTCCTTAATTTTTCCTATAAACCGATTGGGAAAAAAGTGCTTTATTTGTTTGGGTGAAAAAAGGGAACTGAAGTTCTTATGCTTTTTGAGGTCTAACTAAAATTCAGCTTTCTCTAGAAAATTGCTTCCTTGACCACTCTTATCATTATTGATAATAATAATCCTAGCTTCCATTTACTGAACAGTACCTTCCCAGGAATATGGTAAGTGACTCCCAGACCTGATCACATTTAACTCTGACAATAGCCCATGATGTGTCATTAGCTCCATTTAAGAGATAAGGAGACTAAGAGAGGTAAGTTAAACAACTTGACCAGGTCCAATGGCTATTAAGTTATGGGATTAGGCTTTGAAGTTGGAACTGTTGGGTTACAAAGCTTGTTAATACTACACCATCCAATCCTTCCTTGTACCTTGTTCCATCTGTGAATGCTGCAAATGAGCAAAGAATGGTAGATTAGGACGATCAGTCTTACAGCATTCCCAGACAAAAGGTGACAAGCTAAAACTATATTCTGGCAGAAGATCCAAATTAGTTTTCTTTAATAATAACAGTATTCTGAGACACAATTGTGGCAATTTATACAATGAAAGGAATTACTGCTCTGAGAAGACATGCTTAATTGTAAAAGCCAATATTGAGAAGAGAACTGAACATTGAATAGTTTAAATCATTGTGTATGTACTTATCTGGAAATTTTCTTTAGTCACTGAGATCACAGCTTTTATTGAATCCAGATTCTTATATTTTATATTTCATTCATTCATGTATTCAATGGTTATTTACTGAGTGCCTACTATGTGCTATTCCAGGCATTTGAGATACGTTGGAGAACATGATGAATAAAAATCCTGCCCTTAAAGAAAAATAATAATAAAACAATTCAAAAACAAACAGGCAAAAGAAATAGCATCACCAAGGAAAATCCCTGACCTTATGGAGTTTCCATCTTGGTGGGCAGAGACAAACAGAGAAACATATGTCAGATGACACTAAGTGATAAGAATAGACCTATGAAGCACAAGGATCAGAGATATGAGGGCTAGTGTTTAAATGGGTGTCAAGACAAGCCACTCTGAGCCATTGGCATTTCCGTGGAGATTTAAATGGAGTGAGAGACTTAGAGAGTGAACCATGTGGCTCTCTGAGGGAAGAGTAAAAGTTTCCCAGGGGAAGGAAGAGCATGTGCAAAGGCGCTTGGTGTGGTCCTAACGCAGCAAATAGGCCACTAGGCCTGGAAGAGAGGAAGGGGAGAGTTGTCACAGATAAGGACAGAGAAGAATTCGGGCCTAGTGTCGGTGATAGACTTTGTGGCTTTTTCTCCGAAGATGGGAGAACAGTTAGGGGGCTGTTGTAATCATCCAGGTGAGAGATGATGGGCGTGATAACAGTGCAGGGGGTGAGAAACGGCGGGACAGTGAAGACTCGTTGAAGGCACAGTTGACCCTGGAACAGTATAGGGGATCAGGGGTGGCCACGCTCCCAATCGAAAAATGCACGTGTGACTTGTGACTCCTCAAATGCTCAGTATTCACAGGGGATTGGTTACAATATCCCCGCGGATGCCAAAATCCATGAATTTAAACCCAGGGGATACTCAAATTTGACTGTACATTTATTGGGGGGAAAAAAATCTGCATACAGGTGGACCTGTGAGGTTCAAACCCCTGATGTTTAAGGGTCATTTGGAGAATTGAGAGAATTTCTGGATGAATTAGAATGTACGGTGGGAGAGATTGGGTATGAGGTGTGAGAAATCTTCATGTTAAAGTCCTAGTGAAATAACTTTGGAGACAAGAACCCTCAAGGTCTGGTTCTTGTGTGCCCAGACCATTTGACCTCGGAGGTTAAGTCAACAGGAGTCATTAAAAACTTTAGTACTAAGAATAGGAAGAAATGACTGACTGGTGACCCCTCTGCCCAGGCTGGTTCTTATTTGGGAGCAGCTGCCAAGCTAAATAGTGGCTGTGGGAAAAGAACAGATGCCCTTTCCAACGAACTATTTCCAGTTAGCCAAGGAGAGGAACTGAACCTAGAGGTGTAAGAACAGCCTGACCAAACTTCAAGAAGTTTCGGGGCTGGGAGCATATTGTAGGATCCAGCCCTGGGCTTTCCCTAGGTTTTTTCGATTTCTCTCTTTTCCCTTTCATTCCCAGTTCCCTCCCTGGCCCAACTTCTTGCCAGCAGGAAGGTGCAGTTTACCCTGGGTTCTCAAACTTCAGGTGTCAGAATTACCTGGAGGGCCTGTGGAAACACAGATAACTGGGGCCCATTCCCAGAGTTTCTCACTGGGGCAGTGTGTGGGTGGAGGTTGGGGGCAGACGCGGAGGGAGCTGAAATTTTGCATTTCTAGCAAGTTCTTAGGTGATGCTTGAGAAGAACTCTGGCTGCTTGTACCAGAGGCGCCGTGCGCAAAGCAATGAGATGTAGAACTCCACCTGGTGGGATGTTAAGTGGGGAAGTTTCCAGCTCACAGATCACTAGGGAAATGATCCACTTATCCCAAAGTTTTTCTGGCCTGCCCTAAACTGCTGAGAAGAAGCAGAAGCCGAGGAAGAGAAGGAGCCGAAAGTCCTTCCAGACTCGACATCCCTTCGGAGCCCAGCGGAGAAGAGAGGGCGGGAAGAAGGCCGGGGCCAGCCCACAGCTCCTCGGAGGGCGCGGACCTGGAGGAGGCGTCCCAGAAGGCGGCGCCTCTCGGAGGAAGTTGGTCCTTTAACTGCAGAGCCCCGCTGCCCGTCGCTTCAGCCTCCAGAAGCGAGCAGCGGGCACGCACCGGAGCCGTCAGTGCCGCGTGGGGTGTGGGCCGCTGCCGCGCTCAGCACCCGCGCTCCCCGCAGCCATGGGCGCCTCGGCCTCCAGCCAGCTGGACGAGGGCAAGTGCACCTACATCCGAGGTATGCCTCCCGGGGGACGCTTGGGACGGAAGGGCCGCCTGGGCACTGTCCCCAGAGGGGACATCCCGAGCAGGTGCCTGCAGCGCGCCCCGCTCTCCACGCCCCACTCTCTACCTGTGGGCGCAGGGTCCCCAGGTTTCACCCAGTGCGGGTGCAGCTGGCCGGTGCGCTCCGTGTCGGGTGGGGCTGGGGATGCTCGGGGGAGGCCGCCGGAGGGCTTGGAGAGACAGGTGCCGGCTGTGGGGTGGGGCGAGACCTCTTTCCCTCCTCTGCGCCCGCTGCCGCCTGCCTGGGGCTCTGCCCCGCGCCCAGAGCCCCGCGCCCGACCCACCCAGCCCAGAAACACCTGGCTTTCCTGTCCCTGCACTTCGCCGCAGAACACCGCAGGGGATATCCCTCGCTTCTAAAGTTTCCCTGGGGATTCCTGGCCTATCAAGCAGAATTTCCCTCTTGGTCCTGCTGGCCTGGTTTTGGTCCCGCGCAAGGCCGCAGCTATTCTTAAACTTCAGTGTCACTTGGGGGATGATTTCATTAGAGGCAGAAAGGGCAATGTCATTATGCTCCCAGGTTGTAGGGTTCCCTTCCCTCCCTTGTAGAAGGGAGGAAGCAAAAGAGGAACACGAACCTATTTTGTAACTGCTGCTTAAGTCATAGATAGGGAGAAACTCATTTTGAGAAACTTGCAGAGATGTGGTGATTCAGAAAAGAGTGCGAGGTAGAAGAGAAAAATAAAACAAGCTGAACTGAAACTGCAGGAAATCATGACTCTGGGTCTGTTTGGTCTCCCTGTCTTCCCTCCCCACAACCTTGCTCACAGCCACTACCTATTATTTGGTTATCTTGTGAATTTAGTGTTTCTCTGGTTTTAGAAACACCTTCTATACTAGGCATGAAACTCTAGAATGAAACCCTAATTCTGTAAAGAAATGATTAAGTTCTTCCTGATACCTCTTTCTGGCCCCTGAAGCTTTTGTTAAGAAGAAGGCATTTATTTAGTGTTCTTAATCCATATTTGTTTTTAGCCACCACAGCACCTAAATCCTTTTGGAAAGCCAGGGCACTTGAGCACGGTGTAATTGATTTTGCCGATTTCTGCTCCGATGTTTTTTGGTAGTAGAAGGTTATCCACAATCTATATGGTCAGGGGATAAAAGTTGGTCAAGTATCCCTTCACTATTGTTTATTTAAAATGGGAAAAAGGTGGATGACTTGTTTCTATTAGTAGAAGAGCTAAACTGAGCTGGCCTTAGTCTTACGCTTTTGGCTATAGCCTTGTGGTACAGGGGACTGAAAGAACAATGTAGTAGAATGCATGAGAAGGGACTTGCATGGATTTATTAGTAAAACACGTTTCTGGCACTTAATTTTATAAGACTTTATCTCACCAAAAAGCTTAGAAACACCTGAAGCTGGAGCAAGGCCATCTACTGTAATCATTGGAAGTCCAGCAATGAGCTGGTTAGCTTGCCTGAAGAAGACTTTATGGTCATGGCTATTGTTGATGCAAACATTGTACTCATGATAAGAAAATGTGTAATCTCTTTATTTCTGACATTAGATAATTACACATACAGAAGGATGAGACAGCTAGCACCCACGAAGGACTTAGGTGTCAGTCACCATATCCTCTAGTTTTGTTCAGTTTTATCTCCTCATTCTTTGTTTGGGAGGGCACTTTCAAGGTGTGTAGGGACAGAGGGAAGAGAAGAGTTAAAGTTAGAATACCTCCAGAGAAAATGAGATGTTGCCTCATTTGAGCATTCCAGCCTTGCCAAAGAAGAACAGTGCATTGGAAAAATGCATGGGGTTGTAAATTGTTAGTGGATGAATGAATGAAGGTCACTGGGACTGTGATGTCCTGATGTCATTGAAGCCCTGGATCCTGGGGAAAAACAAACAAACAAACAAATAAACAAACATAACCCCACCTTCACCTCTTTGCCCATCCTTTAGACTATATATTTTCAAGCTATGATTCAGTTGTAAGCAGAATGATTGAAAGTATGACAATAAAGTTTAAATACAATTTTATGACCCATTTCTCATACAGTAGCTGCCAGTGAAATATTTTAGATTTGAAAGCTCTTTATGTGGAAACAATAACTTGCTTTCAAGCTTGATAAACTTGCTAATATATGGAGAATAACTAGTCAGTATATGAGTATTTGGAGTGAGGTTTGTTAACTTAATCTTGTATGTGTGAAAAGCAGCTGTCTGAATCAACATTTACTTTTAGATGAATCATTTAACAGCTGCCACTTGGTTTGTGTGCCTCAAAAGTTTGTGTTAATAGTGATCTTTGTCACATGGGTGTTTTGAAAGTCCATTATTTCCTTGGATTTAGTAAATCTCTAGATAAAGGGGTTTCAGAAGTTAAGGACTTCGTTTCTAAAGATGTTAATTTTGAAAATTACTTCCACACTCATGTTTCTTATGACGAAATAAATTTTTAGGAATGTTCCTAGAAGACTTTCAGTAATTTCCCTTGATAAGATGTTTATTAATGAACAACAGAGACCAACTTGTAATACACAGGCAGTGTCATCTGTTGGCTTTCAGTGAGGACCTGGAAGTGTCCCCCTTTCATGAGAAAGAAAGCTCAGTGGCCAGTTTAGGACACTTTTCTCTCTCTTTTTTAAGGATTTTATTTCTTTATTTTTAGAGAGGGAAAAAGAGGGAGAAAGAAAGGGAGAAAAACATCAATGTGCGGTTGCTTCTCACATGCCCGCACCCAGGGACCTGGCCCACAACCCAGGCATGTGCCCTGGCTGGGAATTGAACCAGCGACCCTTTGGTTCTTAGGCTGGCACTCAATCCACTGAGCCACACTAGCCAGGGCACTTTTCTCCTTTTATGCCTTGTTTCCTTTTTCATTTTAAACCTTTGGTATGCCTGAAGGTGAACTATAGCTTCAAAAATATAGTGTTTTCCTGTTTAAGCAATTTTTTTTTCTTTTAAAAATTGTCATTGAACTGTAATTCAATGGGCGGGGACCGGTGGACACCTCTAGGCCTCATAGCAACAAATAGCAGTTAGGAAAACTGTCTTTGTCCTAGACTTACTCATAGTCAGCCACATGTAACCTGTAAAGGGTCCATTGGCTCCCTCTGAAATGCTCATCAGTGATCTGATACTTTGAAGTGAGAAATGAGTTTCAGCTTAAAGACAACATGTATTTCTCTAAGGGGAATTTTATCAGCTTTGTACCATAAGGATTAACTTAGGCGACCGTATAAGAAGCTTATGTGGATAACAGTGTCTAATGTGAAGTCTCCGCAGACGAGGTGAGTGAAAGGCAGGAGCGCTGTGCATACTTGCAGGCTACTCAGTCTGGATGTGCAGGGCCAGTCCACACATTTGCTTATTCTTCAGTCATGATTTGTTGGTAGGAGATGAGCATAAGACCTGATCTGATTTATCTGAATTATTGTGATAAAATGATCTTAGAGCTCAATTTATCTGGCTAGTAATGGTAGTAGGAAGTAGAGAACAACTATACCATTGCTATTTATCTCAGTTCCTAATTTGTAGAAATGGGTGGATTCTCCTAAGAAGTAGGGGCTTGCAGCTCTGCAGATGGGGAGAGCAGGGATGGGAGGAAGAAGGAGAGGACCTGGTATAAATAAAGCATAAACATGTATTGATCACATTCTATTTCAACTTAAAAAAAAGCCTTCAAGCATGCCCAACTACTGATGAAGCTAATAAGAGTTTAAAATTAGAAAAATGATTGCATATAGGGAATTTGTAGTGGCAATAATTACTTTCCACCACCTTTAGAGTTTGTGACTGGAAACCAAACCTTGGGGAATTTAATGTGAATTGAGAATTTCTTAGATTCAACCTAAATAAAGACGGGTAACTGAGGCAGATTAACATTTCCTCCTGGACTTGTGGAAGAAACAGTGACCTTCTTTCTTGGGTCCCCAGTCATGCTTTGATGGACTCAGAGAGTCAGATGGTAAGTCAAGATCTATCTATTCTTGATGAAACACCTTTTTTCTATGAGCATTGGCTGCAAGAGGACCATATCATCAAGGCTCCTTTAATGATAGTAAGTTCTAACGTGACAGTAGTGATTTTCTCGTTTTGATGTTTAAGTTTACTTTTGCTGTGGACTATGGAACTAATTGTAGGTTTCCTCTCCTGTAGCCTTTGGGAAAGTCTAAACTGGGTTCCCAGGTAGAAAGTGCGAGAGCAGGAGCTCAATTTGTAAGAGTAATTTCTAATAGACCTGAAATAAATGCACTGTGAAAGTTTTATAAAATATACAGTGTGAATTGTGGTGGTAAATTTCAATCTCCTAATGAGAACTCTTAATTTTTTTGTCAGTAGAGGTAGGTGCTTAACAAAAAAAGGTGCACATAGTAATCAGCATTGTGAAATGGGAAATGAGTCAGAGTGATGATAAAAGAACAGTGGAAAGGCAGATGAAGGAATAAGAGAGCATAAGTTACCTGCTGCAGTCTGTTTAAACCACTACAGTAAAGCTTAGGACTTGAGGGTTAAAATTCTAACAGTTGCAAACTAAAGTACACACATAACCCCCACCACCGCCATCACCGCCACCAAACAAAACTCCAAATGCAATACAGATTTTCTCCTTGGAAACTGAAAATTCATTTAAAAAAGAGACCAGCAAGTTGCTGCCAATAAGAAAATGCAAGCCAGCTTATAAAAGTGCCTATTATATTTTTTTGGTATTCCATGTTTTTTCTCACTTACAGGAGAGAGGGAAGGATTTAGGGGATGTGTGAACAATTAATTCAGCTTTGCGCATCGCAAGGTCAAGGCCCCAAAGTGTATATTTTTATGCTTGAGGTTGTTGGGTTGTTGATGTCTGTAGGATTAGAATAAATTAATAGTTTTAACGAGGAGCCCCAAAGTGATTTAGAAAAAGTCCACAGTTTGAAGGAATTTTGGAAGAAGAGTAAATGTCTCTATGCCAAACCATGTGGATTTTTCCTTCCATTTTTTTTTTTTTAAAATAAAATATAGGT